TTTTTGTAACGTGGGTTGGGTACATTTGTGTGTGCCAGGAGCAAAGTGCAGGAGGACAGTTAGTTATGTAACTGATAGACTTGACTGTTCAGGTATACCCTGACAAAATTCAAGGATGGCATTTCTGAGGTGCCATAAGGGTAAACATCGATTGCCTTGTGCAGCCTTGACCTTTTTGGGAAGTGGTTGATTGAAGGTCAGGCATGTGAATGGTGTGATCCAGCCCCTTTCCCAATTTGGGCTGGCTTAAGTAAGGGGATCTTTTGGATATTAACAGACACATGAGGCATAGGGGATCTCCCTTTACCATAGCTTTAAACATATGAGGGCACTTATGAGTTGGAGAACTGTATGGGTACCCAAAAGTTCATGTAGCTCTCCTCTTTCATTTCATTACGGTCAATAGTAGTTTGCAGATGGCTTTCTCTGCCTTGCTATCCAGATAGAAGAACCCAGTAGCTTATGTCCATGAGAAAATGCCAATTTCCACATTTTCTTAAGTGACAAAAGCAAAGCTTTTGTAACTTGGACAAAGTAGGATCTGCAGCCATCCTAGTATTAGATAAGGACACTTTCTGGCTCTCATGATCCTAAGGAAAGGGGATGGATCCTATGAAAAACAGGACAGGTGGAAAATGGCATGCAATTATTATAGCTCTTAAGTTTTAATGATTTCCTCCCACTCCACTGTGCTCGAGGCTGACCTTTCCAGAATATGCACCATGTGAAAGACAAGGAGTAGAGGATGATGCGGGCCACCTTCCTGTGACTTCATTCATGGGGTTTAAACTTTTCTCTCCCCGGGGACAACTGGCTAGGGCAATAAACTCGGTTGGCTGGTAGTATCACTGGAGGAAGTGCTTAACTTTTCTTCCTCTGTATCTAATAAAGTTTGATTTAACACAGATTAACCTCAAGCCTTGAAATGACTGGCAAATTCACTGATGGAAAATGACCTATCCAAGGTTACTGAACAAGCAGGTTAGTGGCTGAGCCAGGACTAGAATTTTGGTCTACTTGGTTGCCAACCAGGTCCCCTAAATTCTTAGAGAGCATAGTTAAAAAGGACCTTTGTCTACTGAATGTTACAATTAATAATTCCCCCCCTGCAACCTGGATACATTGTATTTATTTAGGCTGAGGGCAGGAAGTTACTTTGTTCCCTGATTTTTAATGCATCTCTTTTGAATAGAATCACATTGTGGCACTAAGTTTCTGGGGGAGCCTAGGCAGTCATGCCTTGTCAGCTCAATTCCTTTTTGTTTCAGTGCCTTTATGTGGTGGTTGCTGGCAGTGTGTCTGAAATGGGGCCTGCCAACTATGGGTGCTTCACTTGCCTCCTCTCACTGTCCTGAAGAAAGCACTCTGGTGTTTGCTGACTTTGTGGTCTCTTGGTGTGAATTGCCAAGGGCAATTGACTTGTTGAGAAAACTTTATAGATAGCTAGAAACCTCTAACTGGTTAATTGCTAAGTTCCACCTCCATTTTTTTAGGCCTCCAAGTTGATTTATAGCTCTATGTAAGTAACTTCCTGCCTATTTTGCAAGGTCATTTCCTTTCTTTTTCTTATAGGTTGTCAGTCATCCTTTGCTTGAATAGCACCTCCCTTTTTCTTGTTCCCTCCTTTTTTTCTTTCTTTTACAAACTCAGTGGATTTTCTCTAACTTGTTGTAACTTGTTAAGCAACAGCTTTAAAGTAGTGGAAAGAGAAACAGGAAAAACTGAGAACAGAGAAGTCTCCAAGCCAAAATATGCTAATTTTCCAGTCAAAACAGTGAAACAAAGATAGGTATGGCTAATTTGAGAGTTTTAAAAATGGAACTGGGCCTGGAATCCTGAGATTTCAGGTGACAGACTTGATATTCTTATTCCAACTAACTCTTTAACATTTTATTTTGAAATAATTACAAATTCTCAGCAGGTTGCAAACATAGTACAGAGAGGTCCTACATTTACCCAGTTTCTCTGAAGAGATAGAGATTGTATAATTATAACATCAAAAGTAGGAAATTGACATTGCTATAACACATATATAGTTCTATGCCATTTTAGCACATGTAGAGTTGTGTAACCACCACCACAATCAAGATACAGAACTGTTTGATCACTACCACCATTACTCTGATACTACCCTTTATAGTCACATCCCTCCCCATACCCCCATTCCTAACTCCTAGTAACTACTGATCTGCCCTTCATTTCTAAAATGTCATTTTGCAAATGTTATAGCAATGAAATAATACATGTAACCTTTTGGGATTGCCCTTTCCACTCAATGTAATGTCATCAAGATTTATCTAAGTTCATGTGTATCAACATTTCATCCCTTTGAATTGCCGAGTGGTGTTCCATGGTATAGATGTATCACAGTTTAACTATTTACCCATTGAAGGACATTTGGGTTGTTTTCATTTGGGGGCTATTACAAATAAAGCTGTTATGAGTATTTCTGTTCAAGTCTTGGTATGGATACATGTTGTCATTTCTCTTGGGTAGACACCTAGGAATGGAATTGGTAGGTCATATTTACCCTTTTGAGGGATCCCCAGACTGTTTTCCAAAGCAGTGGTACCATTTCTTTCCTACCAGCAATATATGAGTGATTCCTTTCCCTGCATCCTCACCAGTATTCGGTGGTGTCATTATTTTTTATTTTAACCATTCTGATGGATGTGATAGCTGACTTTATCTCAGACAGTGTTTCAGAGAAATGAAGAAAGGGGTGCAGATTTTACTTTAAATGGGGTAAGTAGGATGTGTAGGTGAGAGCAGTTCCTGTGCTGGAATCCTAAGAGGAAAAGCTAAGAGCAGAGTGTTGTTCAGAGTGTGGGAAACGATGAGGGGATGTAGTCCAGAGAGCAATGAGGAGAGAGTAGAAATCCAGTTTCATCAGTAAGCTGGTGCCATGGCAGCTTAGATGGATGAGAGGTTTCTTGAGTGTTTCTGCCCAAAGATATTACTCCTTGTAGAGGTCTTGGGGACAGGGAGCAGCACTGCAAGGGCTGGCTTGTGCTAACCTTCTTGCCATTAGCCCTTTTGATCACAGGCCTTCTGGGAGGCTGGGGGGGGGGAGAACGACCCATGGTAATGGGATACTCTATCCTCTTCAGAATGCACTTTAAGATTGGCAGGAACCTCCGGCAAGATATTTAAAGAAGATGCTTAGAATCATAATCAAGTGGCCCGAAATAGAGTTTCTTCAGAGGCATATTGCTTTTTATTTTGAAGACTTTCTTTTTTATTTTTTAAAGAATTATTTAACTTTATTTATTCATTTGTTTATTTCAATTTGGCTAGAGAGGGAGGGAGGGAGGGAGGGGGAGAGAGAGAGAGAGAGAGAGAGAGAGAGAGAGAGAGAGAGAAGGAGGGAGGGAGGAAGCAAGCTGCCAGATCTGGGACTTGAATTGCAGTCGGCCATGTGAGAATCCAGCGTCTACCATTGGGACCAGCAGTTGGTGTAATGGCTATGTCACTAAATTTTCATGTAGTTGACTGCAGTTAGAGTCCCAGACCCGGTGGCTTGAACTCACTCCGGGTGCATGTGCATGTGTGCCCAAGATCCTGAGAAGAGAATGGAGGAGAAGGGATTGTGGCATGGCCATCCGCCCCTGGAGGGTGATTTCTTGTTTTCTGTCTCTCTGTCTCTCTCTTTCTGGCGAGTGCATGCTCCCTATAGCAAAAATCTCAAAAAAAAAATATAGCTACCATACATCATTATTTTCAGTCACATGAGGTTTTAAGGAATTGAAAAGAATTGGTTCTTAAAGATGGTAAAGGAATAATCTGTTGGGTAAGAAAGGAGAGACTGCAGTGAACTTTTTGCTTGTGCTGTCTTGACTGCTTCCCTTCTAGTTGCTTGTTGTCAGGTGGGCTGGGGCATGTGTCCCTCCCTCTTAGGGATTTTCAAAGAGGTTCTCTTATTTATATTATCTTATTACATTGATACTGTGTATCACTTGCAGAATACTGTGTAAACTTGATATTGGACACTGGATATCTTTCTAGTCATAAAGACCTAGACTTTCCTTCAAAAGAACAGTATTCTCTTGATGTATTTTATTTTTCCAGTTTCTTTGTTTTGAATGATGTCAGCCTCACAAAGACACAGAAATAGTATAGAAAAAATCATAACAGATTCCTTATTATTCCTCACCCTCCAGCTGCCTCTAGATATTAGGTTGTTGGGAAAGTCATGATGCAGTTTTACATAGAAAAATACATCATGACTTTCCTGACAACTCAATATTGTCGTTCCAAGCTTAGATAGAAATCTTCGTAGATGGAACTGGCTTTAGCTTCTGGGTCTTCAGAGCTAGTCTTTGTGATTTGTTAGGTTTTATTTTGAAAACAAAACAAAACAAAAACAAAAACCAAAAAACAAAAACCTTTTTAAAGTATGAGATACATACATAAAGGGCACATGAGCATATTTCTGCAGTCATTTAGGTTAAGAAACAGAACTACCAAGGGACCAGCAGTTAGCATAATGGCTACGTCACCGGACTCCCATGTAGTCGACCGTGGTTCGCGTCCCAGACCCGGTGGCTTAAAACTCTGGGCACGTGTGCGTGTGTGCCTAAGATCCCAAGAGGAGAATGGAGGAGAAGGGATTGCGGCATGGCCATCCCCACTGGGGGGCGATTTCTCGCTTTCTGTCTCTCTGTCTCTCTCTGTCTTTCTAGCAAGTGCACGTGCCCTATGGCAAAAACCTCTCCAAAAAAGAAAGAAAGAAAGAAAGAAAGAAAGAAAGAAAGAAAGAAAGAAAGAAAGAAAGAAATAGAACTACCAAGACCTTAGAAGCCCCCTGGTGTCCTCTCCCAGGGACTGCCTTTCTACTCATGGCTAGCCATTATCTTGACTTCTAATGTTACTCATTATTTTTAAGATGAAATCTGAATCTCTGTCTTATTTAACTGGTTCATTGAAAGTGCTTCTCCTCACTTCATGGAAATGATAAGTTGATCATGGCCTTGACCCTGAAACTTTGTTTCTTTTTTTAGAGTGGACTTCAATGTTCCTATGAAGAACAACCAGATAACAAACAACCAGAGGTAAGGTTCCTTTTGAGCCTTGTGCTGGATTTAAGGTGTATATGGGTGTGGGTAGATACTATGAAGCGTGTTTCTTTTCTTATTGTCAGACAGTAGAAACCTGAGCCATATGATCTTGGCTTTCCATCAACCAACCATCTGATCTATTTTCTACTGCATACTATTGCAGACTTTATAAACACTGCACACTTAAGCTATACTAAATGTATAATAAACATTTTATTCCTTCAATAAGAAATTAACCTTAGCTTACTGTAACTTTTATTTTATAAACTTTAAAATGTTTTCTTTAACTTTTGTATCATTTTGTAATAATACTTAGCCTATAATACAATTCATTTGGCCAGCCCTATAGCCTAGCGGTTAAAGGAGTTGGATACCACATGACTGATCATGGTTTGAATCTTTGCCCCAGTGGCATGAAAAACATGCCAGGCATGTGTGCATATATACTCCAAATCCTGATAGGGTGGAGAAATAGAGAAGGATTGTAGCATGACCTTGCCCCATTGAGGGGTTTTCTCTCTCCCTTTCTCTGTCTGGTGAGCACATGCACTCTCTGGCAATTAAAAAAAAATAAAAAAAACACATTGTACAGCTGTCCAAAAATATTGTTTCTTTATATCCTTATTTTATAAGCTTTTAAAAAAATATGAAAAAAGTCTTATTATGTTATTCTTTCTTTCTAAACTTTTTTTTTTAAAACTAAGACGACCTCACACATTAGCCTAGGCCTATATGGGATCAGAGCCATCAATATCACTGTCTTCCACCTCCACGTCTTGTCCCACTGGAAGGGATATGATACACAAAGCAACACAAAAATTAAATCTAGCATAAGAAAAATGATGTACTCTAGAGACATGGTGAGCATACAGTTTGTGAGGCTGCTGCCAGCATAACATAGCATAATATTTTGTAATAAATTTTGTTCTTTCATTTTTTTAAAGAATTATTTTATTATATATGTATATGTATATATACTTATATGTATATGTAGGGGTGTGTGTGTGTGTGTGTGTGTGTGTGTGTGTGTATTTGACTAGAGAGGGACAGTTAGAGAGAGAGAGGGAAGGTGAGAAAGCAAGCTGCCAGGTCTGGGACTCGAACTGTTGTTGGCCATGTGGGAGTCCAGCATCCCTAGCCACCATGCTACCTGTTGGCCCTGTTCTCTCATTTCTTAAAATAATTTTTCTTTATTTACAATAGAGTGTGGACCTGTGACAGTGAGGGAAAGAGAGAGAGAGAGACAGAGACAGAGACAGAGAGAGAGAAAGAGGAGCACCCTCCCCATGGCCTGGTTACCCCACAGTCTCCTTCCTCCAGTCCTCCAGACCATCAGATCCTAGGCATTCACACATGTGCCTGGCATGTTTTTCAGGTTGACTGGGCTGGAGGTTCAAACCACAGTTACCATGTGGGATTTGGCTTCTCTTGAGTAGCACATTACCACTGTGCCCTGGAGCCAGCTGAGTAAACCCTTGTTTTTTTTTTTTTTTAAAGTACTGTAGAAGGAATAAGCCAGGAACATAGTTATTTATTGGTGGTTGGGAAAGTCATGATGCATTTTTGCATAGAAAAACATAGAAAAATATGTCATGACTTTCTCAGTGACCTAATATTATCAGGCATTATGTACTGTACATAATTATGTGTGCTATAGCAAACTTTTATATGACTGGCAGCACAGTAGGTTTGTTTATACCAGCATTACAACATGTTGTGCTATGATGTCACAGTGATTACTGTGTCAATAAGTGGCAGGAGTTTTGAGCTCCATTCTAATCTTATAGACTCTTGTACATGTGGTCCTTAGCTGACTTAAATGTTATGTGGCACATGACTGTATAATGTGAACCATATTTAATTTAATCTGATAAGTTTTTTTTTTTTTGGGAGGTTTTTGCTATAGGGTGGATGTGCTCGCCAGACAGACAGAGAGAGGCAGACA